TTAATGACTTACGCCGAGTATTGTGGTTAAGATACGTGTAATTATAAGTCTTGAATACAATAGGCAGTGTGTCTTTTTGGAAAAGGTAATGCAACGAAAAGAAGCTTTATACACACAGCAACGTAACGAACGAACGACAAGACAGGTAGAGTACATAGATAGTGAGAGTATATAGTGAAACGCAGTAAGCGCTCACGCAACGGAACTTTAATTTTCCCTAGCATGCGTGGCGTGTCTGTGCGAACATAGAGGCGCTTCAAGGCGCTAGAGCGCCATATTCAACAGTATAGTTATTTGTGTAACAAGTGAGGTAAGATGAAAATTACCGGGTGCGGAGTTTACGCACGAGCCGAAGGCGAGTGCGGTAACTGCACCCGGGAATTTTCATCTTTACACACGGCTTACACTCCCTATTTTATGTTGCAAGTGCCTGGAAAGTGGTCTATCACGCACGCGTAGCGTGCGTAATGGGGCACTTTCCATGCACGTGTTGCATAATAGTTATTTGTGTAACAAGTGCGAGAAGTTGAGAATTGGACACGAGTGCGGAGTGGACGCACGAGCCGAAGGCGAGTGCGATCACCCGCACGAGTGTCCAATTCTCATCCCGCACGTGTTACACACCCTATTTTATATTACAAAGTGCGTAGAAAGTGGCCCATTATTGCGCGCGCGTCATCTGTGCGACGGATGGCCGATTCCATACACGAGTCAAAACAGTGCGGTAATGTTTACATTACCGCAGTTTCGAAGAAACAGTGCGGTAATGTTACATTACCGCACTGTTTTGACTCGTGTATGGAATTGGCTATTTGTCACACAGATGGCGCGCGCGTAATGGACCACTTTCCACGCACGTGTGATATAAAGATATTTAAAGACTCTAACAGCTATTTCACGACGAGCATATTCTGCTGCATGCAGCGTATCGCATTTATGACGTATCCGATATAAAGAATGTGAATTTTTCGCGTAGCTCATGGATACGGTGGCATTGGTGCAACAGCAAAAGCAAGCGCTCGACGGTGATCACCAGGGTAAAAGAGAGCAGGACCACGTGAATGGTACTGTTGTGTCTGCCGAGAGTCACGCGGTCAACAGGTTTTCCCGCGGGACTGAGCGCTCGGCGAGGAAAACCGCGGTCGTCGCTCCGGGCAGTGGTAGCATTGGAGATTCCTCTACACAGTGCAGTGACGTAAACGACGATGCCGACGAGGAAGAGGAGACGGATGTCGAAGAAGGCGGCTGGATCACGAATCTGCCGGTATCGTCGACCATCGTCCAGCGGCAACCAGCCTTCGCCACCACGAATGGCGATATCGTCCTACCAAACGCTGATCAGCCGGCTTTCGGCGATGTCCGAGTGCAGTACTCGAAGAATGTGCGTCTGATTAACCAGACCTGCTACAATGGCCCTATTACTTTAAAGCAGCAGTTTGTTTGCACGAATCCTACTCCGAATCAGGATGCGAGCCGCGCCTCCAACAATACATCGGATTTATCGACGAGTAAAGACAACGGAGCTCCAAACGGATGCGTCTTTCCGCAAAATACTAAATTAAATAAAGGTAATAGTTAATCGTGCAACGCAATAGATTGTTTAGGCCCGTTGCTTTTAATAATTTTTCTATACTTGTTTCTTTTCGTACGTTTAAGCATAAAATCCAGATAACTAAAAGGAACAGATCTCTCATAAGTTTCAACAACAATTTTATATAAAATACAGTTTTATATAAAAAATTATAAATCGCGACCTTCAGAATTGAATTATAATAGAAATATCTTAAATATATTATAAATTGAATATAATGTAGATACTTTTTTTATCGATATCATCGCAACAATACATTACTCTAATCTTTCCTTA